TTTGCATTTTGTGTATTCACCAATTCACCTTGAATATGAAGTAGAAAGTGATCTGGCAGTGCGAATAAATTAGACTAGGGTATATCATAAAATTGCAATATGCATTAAATATATGTTTGCCTGTACACAAAAATATTATTGGTAAGTCAACACTAAGAAATGCTTACAGTAAATGAAAAACTAAATATAATGGGGTATGGCATACCTCTTATTTCGTACATGTCTACTCTTTTCTTCCATTATTTTAGTCTTTCAAGAGCATATAAATTATATTTATTAACGACGCATAGATTCAACACAATTCACTTATTTTAAAAACAGTTCCCAACACTTTATGACGCGCCGTTATACACCACACGCGCACAGCTGATGATATAAACGTGTATATGGTCAACCTACAAAGTGGCAACACTCAAAATATAGGCTTGATGAATATGCTATCGATAGCAGAGAAATTAGAATCGCCATGCATCGCAAATATAAAGAAAACAATATGAGCAAAGCATTATTAACTATATAATGAATTAATGTCAAATATATTTTGTTTATATTTTCGACAAATGTATAAAACGAATATGTTCACTCTAAAATGCACACAAATCGATGGTGAAATATCGATAGTTTTATTCAACAAACAAGTTAAAGTAGCCGCCATGGACGAATCGTGTAAGAAATGTAAATTAAACATATTAATCTTAGTTAATGCCTCTTTATATATGCAACAGCTGGTAGCACATTGTCTAACATGGAACAGACTGCCTCTCTGCTCAATCACAATGTTAGCTTTAACAGCAGCATGGAACTGACCCGAACAGCCGGCGAAGTCAGCGCCGGCTCCATACCCGATCTGAGCTTCTCACTGAGCGAATCGGAACGGAGGAAGCTGATGCTGCGTCAGACGCGAGCTGCCAACAGCACCATGGATCTGGTGAATAAGCCGAACTGCAGCGCAGCTTTGGAGCAGAGCAGCTGGATGGAGGATGATGAGGACGAGGAGAGCGAGAATGTGATAAGTATAGAAGACACAATGGATGAGCACGAGCACACGAAGCAGAAGCAGCCAGAGGAGGAGGCCATAAAGGAGGAGAAGCAGCAGCAAGAGCAGCTGCAGCAACAAGAGCAGCTACAACTGCAGTTGCAGCAGTCTGACACGAAAGAGGCGCAGCAAATGGAGACTGACGAGCCGCAGCAGGAACCGCTGCAGGCGCAACCAGAGAAGATCGAGGAACAGCTGCAACACGCCAACGTTTCCCCACCCCCAGTCTACTTCGAGCGGCAGCTCATCGAGCTGGGACGCCGCTGTTGGCCTTCGAGCGCGCGTGCACAGCATTATACAAAAGGTTGCTATTGGTCGCCGGACGGCACATGCCTGCTGCTGCCCGTCCACCTGGACGGCATGCATGTTATGGAGCTGCCATTGGATCTGTATGAAGCCAGCAACATCTCCACAGAGCGGAGCCTGTCCAAAATGCAATCGGCTGTCCACGTACCCGAGGGCGGCACCGTCTACGACTGTGTCTGGTACCCCCTAATGAACAGCCAACAACCTGAGAGTTGCTTGTAAGTAGAGTGACTTTATATAGATGCAGTGAATCCTTTCTCTTTGCACCCACTGTTAAATTTCTGTAACTAAGAGAAATGCTTAACGAGCCAACTGCAGTGAGTGCTTTTATAGCTCACAGACCCACGGGTATTAACAGTAAGTGTTAGCTTAACATAAGCGCGGTTAATAACAGTGCGCGGGCTTATTTAAAATCAAAATCCAATTCTAAACAACTAGAAGAAATTAAATACCTATTGATTACTTACTTTTAATATAGATTTACTTATTGTTGTCTTCTCTTCCAGTTGGCTGGCCACACGTCAACACGAACCGATACATATGTGGGATGCCTTTGATGGACGCTTGCGCTGCAGCTACAGCGGCTACGATGAGGTGGATGAAGTGGTGGCTGCCATATCTCTACAATTTGCCAACGACGGAGAGAAGATCTATGCGGGCTACAAGCGTTGCATCAAGATCTTCGACACCAGTCAACCGGGTCGCAGCTACGACGAATACCCTGTAAAGTTTGCCATCTCGTGCATGGCTCAGAATGCGGATCATCCACACACAGTGACCTGCGGCAACTGGCGTGGCTACATACAACACTTCGATCTGCGCTGTCCCCCCAAGCAGGGTCCGCTCTTCACGCTGGGTGGCCACTCAGCAGGCATCACCCAACTGCGCTACGGCACAGACGCCTCCAGCAATTGGCAGCTGTTCAGTGGCGCTCGCAAGTGTTCAAAGCTGTTGCAGTGGGACATGCGCAATTATAAACAGCCTCTGCATGAGTTCCAGCGTCGGGTCAACACCAATCAACGCATCCAGTTCGATCTGTGTCCGCAGCAGCCCTGGCTAGCCAGCGGCGACACGGACGGCAACCTCAATCTGTGGAATCTCGCGAAAGGCGAGGAAATCGAGGCCCTGCAGCTGCGCCTGCATGATGATTGCTGCAATGGCATTGGTTTTCATCCCACCCTACCCATCCTGGCCAGCAGCTCTGGCCAGTACCATTTCGTAGCCGACGACAAGCAGCAGAAGGAGGTGCACAACAACACGACTGTTGCAGGCTCTGAGGACTCAACGCAGTTGGAAGCAAAGTCTTCGGTTTCCTATGAGAATGCCATATTGTTGCTCTGGTGTGGTCCCAGCACTGTAAATTAAATTATTTATATGTTTTTAAAATATACTTTGTTGTTAAGAAATAATTATGATATTACGTTTATTTTATGCAAAAGTTTGATTCGTTTACTAAACAGCTTAAATGTTAGATCAGACTTTCTGTTATGCGATAACATCGTGAGACACTGCTAAGTCATGCGAATTCTGTTTTCATGCGGCTCTCATGCTCGACATGCACTGCTTTGCTCGAGCTGTTCACTCAGACTGCTGCTGATTTCTCAATCTGCTCTACTCAGTCAGTTTTGTATACACATTGCACTGCTCTCTCAGCTGTCGCTCTACACTCAGCCTGCACTGCTTAAATAGATAGACTGCGATCTTTACTACTTGCACTGCTCACTCAGCATTCACGCTCTCTCCACTCTGAATGCACTGATCACTCAGTCTGCACTGCTCAGTCAGCACGCATGCTCTGTCTACGCTGCGTCCTCAGCCTACACTATTTTCAGTTTCCTCTTCACACTCCCTGTTTTAACAGTGTGTTGTCATTAAATCTCGTTTCTGCTCGATTTTCATATTTGGTTGTAAGTAGTCAATGCAATAGGATCTCAAAAACATTCTGCATCGATAGCTCGACCAAGGCAGTTGATTTTTCTATTTAATATAAATCCTGCCACAATTTGTTATAAATAATTTAAAGGAGCTAAACTCCACAGAGCACAAACGACACAAGCGAAGTCTCGCTAACAGAACTGTCAAATAACAACAGCAAATGTTAACAAAGTCCGCCAATGACAGAACGCGGGCCAATTTAAAATCAAATCAAAGTCAAAGCGTTGACCAATTATAAATATTTCAATTTATTTTAATTACGCACTCTTTATTATACATTCATTATTAGAATTCACTTATCGTTCAATTAATCGAGTCAACTTCATGTTTAAAAGTAATGCGGGAACGTAAAAAAGTGTATTTTGTTTTTGTTTAAATGTAGCATAGGCTGCTTTAAGAGAACATTTATTTATTTGATAGAGAAAACGTCTTTGCTTTTATCTCTCATACAAAATGAAGTTTTTGTTTAGCTTTTTACTTATTTCGTTGGTTATGGGTGTTGATTATACATTAATATATATGCATATATATATAGTATATATCATAAATTGAGTATATATCGAAGCGTTTTTATCAATTGTATTGATTTTTGCATTGTTATAGAGTATTCAGAGTGTCGCTTTGTGTGGTCTGTGCGTGTTCTTTGTTTGTTTATGTTTATTGTAGCTGATTTATAGTAGTTATAGACACATAACAATATGTGAATTTAAATTTAAGCTAATTGTTTTAGTTTTTATTTGTTTGCAAATAAATGTGAAACTTGTCAAGAAATTAAATATCATTCAAATACATTTGAATTTCCCAAATTTTCAATTTCCCAACTTGAAAAAATTTCCCAACCAAATAAACTTGCATTTTTAAACCATTTCTTCTTGTTTTTGTTCTAAATATAACTTGACGTTAGACAAAATATGCATTTGATTTTTTTTTTTTTTTTTTTTTTTTTATATATATATATTTTAGTTACTATATAGATTTATTTATATATATATATTTGTTTTGTTTTTTTTTAATGCCTAAAATGTTTTTTTGTTGTTGTTGTGTCAAATGAAACGAAAAAGTTAGTTTTTTGTTTTACTTTGTATTGTTTTTTTTTTATTTTTTTTATTTATATTTAAGCATTTCTTATGTATTGTTCTGTTTGACATTATATATAGATAGAAAATGCGAACTTATATGAAAATAAAAAATGTATAATAATGGTGTAGAGTTTTTTCGCTTTTTTTTTAACTCCTATAATTGTTAATAATTAAGAATTAATATTAAATTATATAATATTTTTTTTTTTTTTTTGTTATGCATTTTGTTTGTTAAGCAAAAGCATATGAGAAAACGACAGGCAAATCGTATGGCATTTTCTATTGTTTGAATTTTTCTTTTTATTTTGTAAGAAATGTAAGAAAATGCTCTGCAAATTAGTCGGAAAATACACTTGATATTGTATATTGTATATGTATATATATTCACTATAAGCATGGCATTTAATTTTAATTACATTTTATTTTATTTGTATCAAAACTAAATATCAAACTTGAAAACAATTTAAAATCAATTAAAATTTTAAATAGAAATCACGAATTTCAATTATGTTTAGTATTTCGAAAATATTTTAAGTATATGATTTTGTTTATGTATGTTTCTTATTCTTTCTTATTTTAAGTGTGTTTTGTTTATGATTTTTCTTGTTGTAAATTTGCTTTATTAAGTGTGTTTTTTTTTTTTAAAATAATTTGCAGCTTGCAATTTTCTTTTTTCTTTTCTTTTGTTGTGTAGTGTAAAGTTGAGAGTGTTGTTATAGATCGTCTTTTGTTATTTTTGCCTGCGCTGCCTTTTGCTTTGCGAAAAATGTAATTTTTGTTAGAAATTTTAGTTTCATTTATAATACTTGAAATTTTTTTCGAAGCAAGTATCTGTTTTGCTTGCTAAAATGTATGTGTGTGTTATGTATGTGTGTGTTGAGTGTTGGGGACGCTCTTTCTCTCTCTCGCTCTCATGTTTGCCCCAGGCCAAGCCAGAGCAAGTTTTCTTTTTAAGCAGCCGTTGCCCACACGCCGCCCTAACCCGACGAGGCAATGGGACTCTGCTGTCCCTCCATATCCTGAGTCTGAGCCTTGTTCTGACGCACGACCTCAGCGCGACGTTCCTGCAACAGACATGCGAAAGAAGAAGATGAATTAAGCTAATTCTAAACAAATTACAGGGTATCTGAATGTGTGAGCAACTGCTACAAATGAACGGCAGGCAAACAATACAAACAATATAAAAGCAGCTCTATATATATTATATAGAGGTATATATAGATGTATTCATATGTATATGTATAGTGTAATATTAGATGGTGTGCGGGCTGTTGGGGAGACCTACAAGTTTCTGAGCTTTTTCAATTTTTTTGAGCAACTCCTTTTCGCGATTCTGCTCGGCGGTGTATAATTTGTTTTCGATAATGCGCGCTTTCTCCTCGAGCTTTTGATTTTCCAATTGATTATTCTGCGTTTTGATTTCAGCAATTTTGATTGTGTTCTTAAATGAGAGAGAGAAAGAGAAAGAGATTCCAAAAATAAATCAAGAAAAATAAATATCAAAAATTATATCGATGGATGGAAACGTAAAATGTTCACAAAAACACTTTTACTACGCACAGACGACATTTAGGGCTTTCATTCTTTTGTTAGATACAGAAAGCGTTAGTAAAAATTAGATTACAAAAATAATTAACGAATTTTAAATTAAAGAGATTTTTCTTTAAATAATTAATAAGCAAAGAAATTATAAATAAACCAAAATTATTATTTTTTTTTTTATGTAATGTATATAAAATGTTATTGAAAATGTAAATGAAATACAAAATAGCATTGACAAAATGATTTGTAAGGACTTTGATCCAATGTTGTATCGCAATATACAGTACCCAGTACAGTATTTAAATATTCATATAGAGATATAGTAATATATTTTAACCATTTGGGATTTTTTCCGTTAGAGTATTTTCCTTTCGAGTTGAATAATAGTTCTCTATTTATAAATTACATAACATTAAAAATATTTAATATGAAAATTTGTTATTTATGTTACAAAACAATTCAATTTATTAAAAAATTGTTTGATAGGAAACTAAAATTATAAAATTAATCTACAATAAAAAAAAAAAAATAAATAAAATAAAAAAAAATTATCTGTTTGATGCAGATAATAAATATATATTAATCTTATTTATTTATTATTATTATTATTTTTTTAAATTTTGTTATGTATAAATAAAAATGCTTTATGGATTAAGAATATAAAATTAATATGAAATTCTTTTGATTATTTATTTTGGGTTAGTCCATATCAAATCATTTACAAACGAGTCCAAGCGATATAAGCAATACAAAACAATTAAAGAACAAAAACCAAGCTAAGCCAAGCTAATGGGTTACAAATCAGACAAATCTATACATTCACATACTATATATAGGCAATAAAGCAACTTACGTGCTCCTTGAGACGATTCAACATCTTCTTGATGTTCTCATCGCGCAAAGCCTGAGCTGTCTTCAACTTCTCCTCAATGGCCTTCTGCTCATTGGCCTTTTGCTGCTCCAAAGTCTCGCGCGTCTTCTCAATCTCCTGGGCATGAATCTATATAAAGATGACAAGTCTATTATAATATATTTTCTTTATACCATATTCAGGTCACCTTTAGTTTCTCCTTCATGTCGCTGATAATGGCCTCGCGCTTCTCCACGTGAGTCTCCATTTTGGTCTCCAGCTGCTCCTTGGTCTGAGTGATGAACTCGTTGGTGATCTCATCCTTTTTGCGTGTAGCTTCCTCCACCTTGGCCAGCTTAATGGAGATCTCGGCCATCTTGCGTGCCTCCAAGGACTGCATAATATTGAAATTATATAAATTAATGTTCTCTTCCACTCTCTCTCTCTCTCTCTCTCTCCCTCTCTCGCTTTCTCTACTCACAATGCGACGCTCCTCGGCTGCCTTTAGCTTCTGCTCAATCTCCTCGACGCTGACATTCTTGCCCGGTGTAACGGGTCGCTTGGGCACTGCCACATTGGGTGCTGGCTCGGCCAGGATGACCTCATAGCTAAGGCCGCCGCGCGACTTCTCCTGGCAGCGTATCTCAGTGGCTGCAAGAAACAAAAGCCGGGATTCCCCACACTTTAGCCAGTAACTCAATATTTGTGCATTTTGCGAAGGGCAGAAAAAAGAGGGCGCATTCGCCATTACACTATATACTATCAATACTATACATTATATACTATGTATATAGTTTAGGGTAATTTGTAAAAGTCACCCTTAAGCTGCACTCTATATGACGTCAATATTTTTTTTTTTTTTTTTTTTTTTTTTTTTTGCAAACTATTGCTTGCGGTTGCTCCACAGAATTTAATGTGAATTCAATAATTAATTATTAAAAATAAATGTAATACTCTTTTAATTAATTACATTTAGGTGCCATAATATTAAAGAATGTATATAATGAGTACAAAAATATTAAAATAATTATTTAATGCGAATGTAAACTTTAAGCCAAAAGTCTTATTTCAGCACTTGGCTTGGCTAGGCCCTAGCGACAGCAGCTGAAAGAGTCTTAAAAATGTGGCAATACATTAACTTTTGCCACTTTGCATCTTTTGGCCTTGTGCCCGCAGCTGTTGCGGCTTTTAGTTGCGGCGTTTGTTTCAGGCGCAACTTTGATTAATGTGCAACACGATCCACTGTTGCATTCGCCATTTATCATGTATATATATACAAATATATGTATATATATTTATATAAGTATATATGACGGGCACAACAGCCGCCCAAAGTCAACAGAATAAGAGAATGAAAAAACATTTTTGCGCACAATTATGATAATAAATGCAGCGGAAAAGGCATTCACAGCTGTGCATTAAGCGGGGGAAATGCCACAGCCGTTTCTGAAAATCTCGCTGCTCGAATTACACAAGGCGAAAATATACGTATATGGATTTGATAATAAATTCCAGAACATCAGAAAAAAAATCAATGTAACAAAAAATGATATACGAATTATATTCTACATAACATGTCCTTGCACTTTTATTTATTAATATATTAATATTAATATGTTTATAACAAAATATAGTTTTCCGAATTGTACAATCGATCGATTCTACAAGTTTATTTCCGCAAATAATCTAAATAATATCAACCCCACTGTAGTAGAAAAAAATTTGCAGCCCCAACAAAAATTTTGGCAAACATCTGCGATAAGATACAAAGCGATAAGAAAAGAAATTGCAAAACTAAGCATAAAAACAAACCGAAATTTGAGAGACAGAAATCAAGGGAGATAGATAGAGAGAGACAGAGTAGAGAGAGAGAGAGTAGAAAAAACAACCCCAACAACAGTACTCGCACCACCGAACCAACTGTCTAATACTCGTTCATGCTGATCCAATACACATACATATATAGTCATTCATCACCCATGGTTGACATTTTCAAATAGAATAAATGTGCTTAAATTTAAGTCAGTTTTAATAATATTTTAACTCTAACGTCTAATATAATAATTATAAATAAACAACCTTCACATTGTATTTGAATGTAAAATAATTTCTATCCCATTCTTTATAAATTTCGAATATTTTCTATGCCATTCCATCTAATATAACATAGAGAATATATTTATATAGTATTATTGCCAAAGACAATATTTTGAACAAACTTATTATAACGTGGAAGTGAACTAATGTAAATGAGTATATATTAAGCCAGACACAATTCCAACAAATCCAATATACCCCATTTCAATATGCACGAAACTAGAAGCAAACAAATAAGCAAATTGAAGTCATATCAAATGAAGTGGAAAATTTGTTATCAAAACAGAACTGGGGTATTCAGGAGAAGAGAAGGCATGTCAGCATGAAGAATACACATATACAAGAGAAGAGAGTCCACCCAACCGGATAAGGTTTAGGTGTTGAACAAATTGTCTCATCTGTCCAACTATGTCGGACACATGATTTGCCATTATTGGAGAGCAAGTGTCAATCACAACAGGTTTCTGTTTCTGTTTCAGTTTCCATTTCGATTTCGATTTCAGCTTACATTAAGAGGTCAAAGTGCGTGATAGGTGCGTGTGAGAGGTGAGCAAATAGATGGGGTTGCGAAGCACTCATAGTTCAAGCTATTGGAACGATTTGCATTTGAATTGCAAATGTGAGAAACGTTTTTTAATATGAGAAAACAGAACAGAAATCGATGGACACCTAGACGAATAGTCAATACACTAAACACTTGAAGGATTAGAATATAGGATTGGAGAAGGTTCACAATGTATATATGAATTATCATATTCATAACCATATTTCCATCTATGAAACTATAGATCTATTTCTAGAGTATGCCTTTATTATGGTATGGTTTACTTATATATAGTCCACCTATAGTTTTTGATGACAGGGACGATAGATAGTTCAAGTACCAATACAAAATACAGTCGAGTCTCGATTTGTACCCCGCTAAATCGAAAATCGCGATAAATCGAATAAAATCCTATATATTTTCTATTTTTATATGAATTTCTATGTAAATAATAATTAAAAAAAAAAAAAAAAAAAAAAAAAAAAAGATCCCCTTGCATAATACAAATATATAAGTCCTAACTACACTACTTAGTCTTCCAAAGAATTTCAATTTGCACAACACTTTCCTAATATACAAAATTCTTGAAATTTGGTCTGTTTACTAAAAAATCAATTGTGAATTGTAATATGAATACCAATAGGTATTTTTCCCTATTATCATATTGCTATATTCACATATTCGTGAGCTGTCAGAGCTGTGGTTGGCGGGTCTTAGAATTCAACCACAGTGAATCTCATATTGTTGTATGAGGCGACTAAATGTGAGAGCTTTGTCGTCAATCTAGAACTAACAGGGTGCTGAGCTTCAGTTGCATATTTTCTTAGCATGACATATTTATACACACATTCCTTGGAATGCACTTGAAATCGAGCAACTATTTAATTCCCCTGCCGTAGAATCTATATTTTATAGAAGACTGCTAATATATGAACTTGTGAAAAATATATACTATAAAAATATAAAAAAAAGTCTACTTTCAATAAAATGCAGATATTTATTTTATACAAATATTATATATTTTATATAAATTAAACTTTGCATAAAAATAAAACTTCGCTAGGAAAACTTCAATCGGAACGGTCGGACGAGAAATTAGAGACTTCAATTTCTGAAATAAAATTAATTTCTATTAACAAAATACTTTTTTTTCGGAGACTAGTTCTATAGAGACTAATGTTAATTAATACATAGTTAATAATAAAAAGAACAAATAAATTGTATATAAATTAAATCTGCATAAAAATCCCATTCCAACCTATCTTTATATATAAACAAAAATGATGATATTCCCTTAAATCTTCATATCCATAAATATGGTTTAGATTTAATTAAAATTTGTTTCTATGCACATCTTTTCAGATGGACCATAAACCTATGCAGAGCTGACTCTTTGCTCTACTTCCAAAATTTGCACATAAGCCATGCTGAAATCGTATTACCCTGCGCTCGCCCAACAACAAGCAACAAGCCATCGACCATTTGGTCAGCTGTTTTGTGTTGTGGCCCAGCAATTTGCTAAAGTGGCTTTTGCGGCGCGCTCCATTAGGCTCCACTCTGGCACACTAGCGCCCCCTCCCTCCTACCTAACATTCATAGCGAGAGCGCAGCAATTAGGGTAAGAGCGAGGCAGCTGAATCAGGAGCTGACGCCGGCTGCCCCCCGCTAGCCCAGCCGCATACTCACATTTCTTCTGCTCATTCATTTGCTCCAAAATGTCCAGCAGCTTGGGCGCATCGCAGTGTCCGCTATGCTTCTCGACCACGTGCAACTGCAGCTCCTCGGCCGTGAAGCCCAGCTCATCGCAGAAGGCGCACTTGTAGCTCTGCGGAGCCTCGCCATTGACCATCTCCTCGCCGAGGAAATAGAGCTCAAAGAAATCGCGATTATAGATAGCTTTCATGGGATGATAGTACTTGTGCTTCTCGCTGGGCACATTCTTGCCCTCGTCATAGCAGTCGCCGCAGTAGGTCACCGAGTCGCCACAAACGATGCACTCGTAGCGCCTGCCCAGGTTGCCCTCAGCCGGGCAGCTCAGGCACTTGGCAACGTGCACCTCGGTGGCATCAGTCAGAGACGACATCGCGACAGTCAATTAGCGTCAATATCAAAGGCAATTGGTAAAAAAGTATGGAAAATGAACGCAGAAGATCGACAACTGTTGCCTTCCCAAATGTATTTACACTTTTTTTCTCGTCTTTTGTTTAGTTTTGATATATAAAAACTTTTTTTTATATAATTTTACGTTTGCGCGCTTCAAGCTGTACGAATAAAGTGAAGATTGAGCATTTGCTTCGTGTCAGAAAGGAGACGTTACGTTCACACTTTTGGCGCTGCCAACTTGATTTATGAAATGGAGAAAACGGAACTAGAAGAGGGGGCAACACTTCACAGATAGCTGTGGGAAAAAACTTGGCGCATATGGAAATGAAACACAATTCCGAAACGATCAGAAATTGAAATGGATTTGAGAAATATCAACAAAAGGTCTGTGGATCACGGAAAAATCAAATAGGGATTTATAAAAGTAACATGAAAATTAAGGTCGTCTATAATACGGAATTAATTCATATGTACCATACCATTTAGCATATAATCTGGTGAAGAAATTGAAAAATGGAACAAATCATCTAGTTCTTAAGACAAAATAATTTAAAAGTTGCCAGATATGTGAGAAATTGACAATAAGAAAATCAAGTTCTATTAGGAATTTTCAGCATTTAAGCTATATGATATCAATTTGCTATCATAGGGGAACCCGTTTCTGAGTAATGATAATATGGAAAACTTAAATTTGAATTTCCAACAGCTTTTGCAGAATGTTGAGCATAGTTTGAAGAGCAACTCTTCGCGCAATTATCAAAAAAATTAGTTGGTAGTTTTAATTCACAGAGCTATGCAACAATTACTTAGATATAATAGAAAAATTAGACAAAAGCTAAAAGAACAAATAAAAATTATATGGCTGTAAACCTATATATATAAGTAAAATATCATCTATAATATATTTATTAATATACATACAAATTATGAAGTCTTGTAAATTTTAAAGCGGTTCTCATATTCCAACCCATTGTCTAGTAACTCTTGCTCTGGGGATTGAAATAAGAAATCGGAACAGATGCCATCACTAAACAAAGTATCAGTTTGCAACTATTCAATACCAAGTTCAATAATTCCGATAACAGAAGATAAGAATCGTTAGTTTTTCCAGGAATTCTATTCATGCGCAAGTTTTGTCAATAGAACTAAAGCAAAACAAACAAAAAACAAAAAAAATTATAAACCAAATAATTAGTATATTTTGTTGGCCAATTGCTTTATTGAATGCAGAAAATTGCAGTATATTTTGTATATAAATTATAAATTGCAGTTTGTATATATATTTTCCTTGCTCTGCTCCATATTTCGTATTATTTTGTTTCAATAAACTCTTTCGGACGCGCTATTAACCGCTCATTATATGGATACTCCTCCCATTGTCAATTTCTATTCGAATATTCCCCTAGTAACCGTAGACCTGATCAATTTCATTGACCAGCATGGCTATAGTTGAGTCGGATGTCTCCGAGCCCGAGTTATCATCGTAATCTTCTTCCTCCTCATCCTCAACATCACCTTCCCCTTCAGCTTCGCCCTCACCCTCGACATCATCCACTTCGATAACCACGTCGTCGTCCTCGATCTGAGGATTATTGTGCTCATTGATGATATTGACAGTCACAACAGTGCTCTCGACATTCGGTTGGGCCACCTCCTGATCCACACCGCTAGCCGCATCATCCTCCTCGTCGCGCTCATCGGTGTCGGGATCCATGTCAGAGTCGATGCCGACTGGATCGTGTGTTGCCTGCAAGATAATGTCCGGCACAGCGACGACCTTCGAGTTCAGCTCCTTCTTCTTAATGGCAAAGTCAGCTAGCCACTTTTTATACAGATCGAGATTCTTATAGAAGCGATCCATGTTGCAAACTGGGGCAGCGACGTCGCTGCCCGCCTCCTCCAGAGTCTCCTTTGTGGCCTCGGCCGGGGCAGTAGTAGTTGGTGGTGCTTTGGCCACGATGGGAGCTGCCAATGGCATTGTAACTGGCTCCAGTTGCTCCTCGGCCAGCATGGAGCACAGCAGAGCTTCGGTGAAGTGCATACGATATGCCTCTGGTGGCAGACTGTGCTGCTGCTGCGACTGCGACCCCTCCTGCTGCTTGTCCATTTCTAGAAACTGGGTACAAAGAAATTTATTCAAATCGCCACTCTCATTGCTGGCCTTCTCCTTGCTCTTCTCCTTGCTCTTATTCTTGTCATTGTCTTTGTTCTTGTCCCGCCCATCACTGATTCCGGATACATCGCGCAGGATGTCCGCATAGCTGGTCATGAGCCTCTCGGCCCGATGCTGCTGCTGATCCATCAGACTCGACGAGTGCGCCCAGCACGAGACCCAATCATCCTCGCCCATGCGCCTGGGCATCTGCGAGCTCACCTTGGGAAAGAGCGTGCCCAGGCGCATGGTTGCCGGCAAGTTGCGCAAGCGAGTCACTTTCGGACTACGCATGGTGCGAGCATCCAAAACGATGCCATCCGAGCGTGCCGAAGCAGGAGGCTGCGATACCGACGGCTGTTGCTGCAGTTGCTGCTGCAGCTGCTGATGCAGTTGTTGGTGCTGCTGCTGCTGCAGCAACTGCTGTAGATGAGGTCCGTGGTCCTGAGGCGATCGCACTGCAACATTCAGACAATGATTGGTCGTATAGTAACGGGGAGTGTTATTGTTGCTAAAGCTCAGCTCCTCGAGCACGTTCAATGCCTGCTGCTCCAAGAGAGCGGCGCGTCGAGCCTGGGTCATACGCACAGCCTCACGGAAACTGACCGCTGAGTCGATGACGTTGCGCTGTGCGGCAACAGGCAGCATTGGGCGCTGCACGGGGGCGATTGCCCGCTGCCGGAGATAGCCCGTTGTCGGGGTAATGGCTGCACGCGAAATCGAACCCGAATTCGAGCCAGAACCAGAGCCTGAACCCGAACCAGACCCAGCACCAGAACCAAATCCAGAAGCCGAACCATTTGCCGAAACACTTCCGCCATTCGCAGTCAAACGCACCGTGGCGGCTGCTGCATCCGCCGTATATCTGGTATACAGTATGCTGAAATATTCATCGAAATCACTGTGGCCGCGATGCACGTCCGACAGATGCTTGTAGAGCTGCAAGGTCGTAAATCCAAGCTGATTGCACAGCGCACACTTGTAGCTCTGCGGCACATTCGTCTCCGAGTAGGCCTCGCCCCCAAAGTAGAGCTCGTACTCGGCGCGTGTATAATGCACCTCCAAGGGATGGAAATACTTGTGCTCCGGCAACTGGGGCAACTGGCCCGAATCGTAGCAGTTGCCACAGAGCTGATAGCCAATGCACATCCAGCAGGCATAGCGACGTCCGGCAAAGGCAGCTGCATGGCACTTGGAGCAAACGTAGCCGAAATGACGTTCCGGCGGCTGGACAGACGTTGGAACCATGGCTTAAAGGTAAACAATTGCGATTAGGCTATGTGGCGTGGTCTCTAACTGAAAAGCTAGCTGCAATTGAAGTTGTATATATCAAATGTAGACATACATATATACAAAAATATATTTGCATATATGTACATTTACTTCTTTTGAAGAAGTTCTTTGTATATATTCACACTCCAATTGCATAAATAAATTTCTGTCTGTTCTCATAGAAATTTTTGTGCTTAGCTTTCTCATTAATTCATTGATTTTCATTCAACTTACTTTCGTTTTGCACTTTGATTTTATAAATAAAATGAATTAAATTTTCAGTTTTCGCTTCTTTTCTTCAACAGCTCTCAACTTTTTTTCACTTTGACAATTTAGCTTGCAGCTCGCTAAAAAAAAAGTAAATGACACGAGCAGTTAGCTCGTTGCCTTTCACACACAAATACGTTCACACACACGCAACTTGCGTTCCACACGTTCCACAATCGCCTTTTGCAGCGCTGCCAACTTCGTTCGTTTCTGTGCTTTTTTTGTGTCGCAATAATATTTGTCTTTTATTTAAAATAATTATTTGTCTTCTTTTTGAAATTTGTATTTTCTTTTATTTATTTTTTTGAAGTGATCTCAAGCCTATGAAAAACTTGAAAATAATAGTCAGTACTATTCATTTGGATTACCAAAATGTGTTTGACGCTAAGCCTACTGAGCGAAATCGAATTGATCATGTATCGATAGATCAGTCAATCGAAAATTGAGTAACCTCAAAAAATTTCCAATGCAAAATGAGCTCTTGCACAATAACAGTCAAATGGAGTAAATGTTGTGTGCAATTGGGACATTCTGGTAGTAAGATATCTGTTTTTCCACTGAAGTTACATTTTTGAAATACAAAAAATATTCACAAAAATTACATAAGAATAATATTTAATATTTTATAAAAGTAAGACATAGTTTTAATATTTATTAGACTTTGCTTATCAAAAAAAGCTTAAGCTATAGATAGTGTATACCCGAACAGTCTAAGAAATTAGTTGCTAATATCAAGAAAATATATGTATTATATGATTTGATGATTGAATAAGTTTTAGTTATTAGCAATAATGACCGAGAGGAGTTCTTTGCCAGCTCAGTTGAGTGTAAGAGAGATATGTGGGACATTTATGTTATTTGTAATACCAACAGTTTATGTGATAGAATTTGAAACCAAATCTTCTTAAGTGAAGGCGTATAATTTCATGTCTATGAATCTGTTCTATGCACATATGCATAAGTATTTTCTTTATCAAGTTTACATATGCATGTTTGATTGTTTATGTTGTATGAGTAAAGGAATTCCCTGCGTAGCACGATGAGAGAGAGAGAGAGAGAGGTGCTTAGGGAAAATCTGAATTTCTGCTTATTATTGAAAACTTTATGAATAGTTACATACATAACTAAAATTTGGTATTTCATCTTCAATTCAAGATATAGATATAAATAGAAAAACTTTATAAACTTCTGTAAAGAATAGTTTAGCTTAGAAATTAAATTAAATTATTTCATTTTAGAATTGAATTTTGCCAAACAGATAAACACTTTCTTTTTCTCTTTTCTCTCTGTCTCTCCCTCTCTCTCTTTCTCTCCCTCTCTCTCTCTCTCTCTCTCTCTCTCTCTCTCTCTCTGTAGTTTTTTATTGCATTTATTAACACCTGCACACACTTTCACATTTAGTTTTGCAATAAAAACCAATAATTATTATTATTTTTCACAGGTAAT